ACAGATGAGTTACAGAGCTTTGGCTCACCGACAGGCACTTTCTTCTTGACCTGTAAGCTGTGCTGGGATTGGAGGAAAAGCGATACTCAAACTTGAATTTCAGCCTAAGGGCCTTAAGCTGGTTGGACATATCTAGTGACTTGCGATTGATTTTGTTCTTTTTTAAAGAGAAAGTTTATTTAGAAAGTCACAGAGGTCGGGAAAGTGAGCCAGCTGGGTGTGGGTTTAGGAAACAAGTTACAGCAGCCAAAGCAGGGCCCTTGGAGTTTAGGAAAGAGGGAGGTAAAGGTAGCGCCCTGGCGGGGAGAACAGGGGAAGGGAGAGCCACCTGGGTTATTTTTTATGCTGGTACATACTTAAGAAAAAAATTTTGCTGACATTCTTTAATTTCACAACAGCCTTCAGAATATCAAACCTATAGTGTCAAGAAAAGGTGACACCTTAGGCAATAATATTAATCAACAGATTATGTGTTCTCACGGGGCTGCGGCCCAGTGATTTTGTGTTTCAGTGGGGATTAATGATTTTCTCATAAACACCATAGTGCCCAAGATGGCCTAGCCAGGGAAGGAATTTTTGAAAACAAATACTTATTGCCAAAGTACTAGAGTAACCTAATGACAGTTTTATTTTCAGACCAAGTAATGGTATCTAAGAAGCTTAATTATGAGTATTCAGTACTTTTCAAATTTATCACTCCACTAGATGGTGTCTTGATTCATGTGTGCACACACGCACTTCTTTTTTTTATCTTCACCCAAGGACATTTCTCCATTTTTTGTTCAGGTAGAGTGGGAGGGAGAGAGAGAGAGAGAGAGAGAGAGAAACATCGATGCGAAAGGGACACATCGAGTGGCTGCCACCCACATGACCAACCAGGGCCGGGGACAAACTGCAACCGAGGTACGTGCCCTTAGCGGGAACCAAACCCGGGTCTCTCTGGACCTCAGGCCAATGCTCTAACCACTGAGAAAACCAGCCAGGGCCACACGCACTTCTTTAACCTGCACGTATGATGAAAGTCCTTAATCTGGCCAGGCTCCCAAAACTGCACAGGAGAACTGTGTTATTTTAAGGTTCCTCTGGGTTAGCATTTTTAAGAACACATATCTTTGTGGTACTAAAATGCTAGAACCCATTTATTCTTTTCTTTCAATTCCCACACATTCATCATGACCTTGAGGACAGCCTCCCATTCCATGGGGGCTGTCAGCACCAGTGTCCGACCTCCATGAGGGGTCAAGAATGAGTTAGTTACATCATGGAGGGAGAAGGTGATGCTTCTGGAAAAGGCTGTGAATTTGAAATTTGATGTATGTGTGACTTGACAACCTGTTCGTGTCCCTTATCATACCAAAAAACTGGACACTGTATATAGGAGAGAAGATGACCTAGATTCCATTGTCATTTAAAATATTTGAGAGTGAGCACATCATTGAGTCTAAAAGCAAACTACATTGAAGTGAGTGGGGCAAGATAATAATTTCTTACACTGATTAATTTTTATAGTTTACAAAGTGAACGCATGTCCCATTTCAGGTTTGTAGGCCGAACAATTCTTAGAATCATTTAATGTTTCTGAGACTGAATTCCGAAGGATTAGGTGACTCCTGAAAGAGCCGATATGAGAATGCAAATCTGTGATTAAAAGCTAATTTGAGGAGCACTTACCATGTACAGGGTGCTGGAGATTCAGAGATGAATAGGACTAGTTTCTTACCCTTGGGGAATAATCTGGATGTGTACTCAGAGGTTCTCACTAGAGACCTTTATCCTTTCCCTGTGATAAATCTGCCAGGCCACGCCTTCGCTCGCAGGGGCCCACTCCTGACCTTGCTGAGGTAGTTTAACCTCCGCCCCTCACTGCCAGGCCCGTTCTGCCTCTGTCTCTCAGTTGCTACTACTCTAGAGTTACTCTTTATTTTGGAAATAGATGCCAACTTATTGTATTTTATTTTCTGGTTCTAGAATTTTCATTGATTAGTTTCTTTCCTAGTTTTTTATTTATTTCAATGAAATATTTTTCTTTACTGTATTGAGCATCGTTGCAATACATCCTTTAAAATCCTTATCTGCCGATTTCAACATCTGGATCATCTTGGGATTGGTTTGCATTGATTATCTTTTTTAAATTTTTGTTTATTGATTTGAGAGAGGAAGGGAGAGGGAGAGAGAGAGAGAGAGACATCAATGAGAGAGAACATCGATTGGCTGCCTCCATGCCCCACACTGGGGATTGGGCCCACAACCTGGGCATATGTCCTGACCGGGAATTGAACCAGTGACCTCTTGGTGCACGGGTCGACATTCAACCACTGGATCATACTTGCTGATTTTTAAAAATATCAAATGAGCCCTGGCCGGTTTGGCTCAGCGGTTAGAGCGTCCACCTGCGGTCCAGAGAGACCCGGGTTCGGTTCCCGCTAAGGGCATGTACCTCGGTTGCAGTTTGTCCCCGGCCCTGGTTGGTCGTGCGGGTGGCAGCCACTCGATGTGTCCCTTTCATGTCGGTGTTTCCCTCTCTCTCTCTTCCTCTCTCTTCTTCCCACTCTGTCTGTACAAAAAATGGAAAAATGTCCTCGGGTGAGGATAAAAAACAAACAAACAAACAAACAAAAAATATCAAATGATTTTAGATTGTGTGCTGGACATTATCAAATTATAAAGACTCTGAATTTGTTTTATTCTCCCAAAAATTTGTGTTGTTTTTGCTTTTGCAGACGATTAAATTTTTTGGACTCAAACTACAGACTCTTCCTCAAAAACAAAAAGCACTTACTGTTTTCTTATCTTTAGCAGAGTTGCTTTGCATCTTTCCTACACATGCATGGTTCATTTAAGAATCACCCAAAGCCTAAGCAGAAATCACATTGGAATTTAAGGCTCCCCTCTCTGGGATTCTCTTTCTCACTTTTCAGTTTCTGTGCATGTCCTGAACTCTGTCCTTTGGTTCTTCAGGCCAGAAGGACTGTGGGCTTCCAATCTGAGCCTTAGCATCCTAGCCATCCTTCATGTCACTGACTTTAACCTTCTCTCAAGTTAAAAGCCAGTGAAAACAAGAAACCCACCTGGTATCATTCTTTCAATAAGATTCATTCCTCTCCTCCCCAACCACCACCCTATGAACCTAAATGCCTTCAAGTCATTGATTTGGGGGAGGAAGAGGTTTGTAACTTTATTCTAAGGGATGGTTGGGTCTAGTAGGACCTCACAGAGCGAGCAGAAGCAGAACTATCTGTTATAGCATTATGCCTCTGTGCAAGTTTCTGTTTGCAGGAATGTTCCAGTACTGAAAAACAAAACCAAAGGTTTCACAATCCACTGTATGTATTCCATTTCAAGTCGGTTTTTAAATTCTCTAACATCATTAATAAGTGACCCACATATTAGCCCTCAATGCAAACACTCCCAGTAATGAAGACCTCGCCCTTTTTCTTCTGTGGTTTCTCTCCCCACTCCTCAGCTTCCCAAGACCAACAAAGGCTCTTTGTCTGACTTTCCTTAATGGCAGAATTTTAGCAAAGCTCCTTGGAGAGAAAAGCTGGTTGAATTCCAGAAGCTAAGTGTTGCATTTCTTTGATGAACATTTCAAATGGATGATTTTGGTGGAAGAAAGTGATAAAAGGAATACGTATGCAACCAAGCCTTTATTTTGACTTCTGGTTGATGCTCAAAAGAGCCGGGTTGGCCTGGTATCAGCTTCAATGCATATAGCATTCCGGAACTAAGCTGAGGAAGGCCATCAGCCTAGACCATCTGCTACTCCACTAACCTACTGAGGAAGGAGACAGGAAGATAACTGGGGTACCTTGTGGTTGTATTAGAAGATAAGCCAAGGGACTGTGGTTTGGACCCAAATATGATGAGAGATTCGGGACATTTTACTGTGTAGTCAAACTAAAGATAGTAGAGGAAAACTACTGTCACATGGATAATGGTCATGGCAATTGGAGCCCTTGGTCCTGCTCTGAATTTGCCTGTCACTCCATAACCTTTAAGAAGTCTCAGTTTTCTATGCAGTTTTCCTTTGTTGATGGGTTTCAAGGAATGCTCCAAACTAAATGGAGAAAATGTACAAGTGAAGGCACGTGGAGGTAAGAGAAGCCATGGAGTCTGGAAGTGACTTGTTTAGATGGACAATGGCTAATATAGTAAGTATAGTCACTGTTTTTTCCTTTATGTCAGGTACTCAGCCATCCTGAGGTCTGCTGGCAGATCTTGAAGAGTGTATCATTCACCTCTGTTTTTCTGAGGAGTAGAGTTTTAAGTGTTTTCTTGGCCCAGCTGGTGTGGCTCAGTGGACTGAGCATCTTCATGTACTAAGAGGTCACTGGTTCGATTTCTGGTCAGGGCACATGCCCAGGTTACAGGATCGATTGATTCCCTGTAGGGGGCATGCAGGAGGCAGACAATCAGTGTCTCTCTCTCATTGATGTTTCTATCTCTCTCTCTCCCTCTCCCTTCCTCTCTAAAAATTAATTTTAAAAAACATATTAAAAAAATAAAAAGTAAATAAATGTGTCTGCTTATGTCAAAACATAATATATTGCCCTGACCATTGTGTCTCAGTGGTTGTAGAGTTGGCCCAAGGCCCGAAGGGTCACTGGTTTGATTCCTGGTCAAGGGCACATACCTGAGTTGCAGGTTTGAACCCCAACCCTGGTCAGGCACACGTGGAGGCAACCAATCAGTGTCTCTCTCTCACACCGATGTTTCTCTCCCTCCCTCTCTCCCTCCTGCTTTCCCTCCCCCCTTGCCACTCTCTCTGAAAATCAGTGGAAAGGATACCCTCTGGTGAGGATTAACCACAACAACAAAAAAACATAATATGTTTTGAATTAGCTAATTCTCTGATAAAGTCTGTACCCCACCTGGGCATCGCCTCCTTTTTACCACCACTCTCCTAGGAAGCAAAAGTAAAATGTGCTCTCTTTTTGTCTTTGGCTTTTTAATTCCTTCTCTTTTTAAATTTATTTTTTTATTTAAATTTTTTTTTTCAGAGTTAAAAGCAACAAACGCTTCTGTGGATCCCCGGTCATTTTTTCTCAGGAATTCCGATGATAAATTTGAACCCATCCCAGACATGGACTCTGAGGAGAAAAATGAAAGTGGGCTACCTGGAGACAGATTGAGCCCCATCAATGCCAGCCGTCCTCTTCAGAATCGGCCCCCTGTGTACATCTCGGAAGATGCCTCTGGATACCTGACCAGCGCCTGGTTGACTCTCTTTGTCCCCTCCGTCTACACTGGCGTGTGTGCAATAAGCCTCCCTCTGAATATCATGGCCATCGTTGTGTTCATCTTGAAGATGAAGATCAAGAAGCCGGCCGTGGTGTACATGCTACACCTGGCCTTGGCCGATGTGCTCTTCGTGTCCGTGCTCCCGTTTAAGATCAGCTATTACTTTTCTGGAAGCGACTGGAAATTTGGGTCTGAGATGTGTCGCTTTGTCACTGCGGCCTTTTACTGTAACATGTATGCTTCCATCATGCTCATGACAGCCATCAGCATTGACCGGTTTCTGGCTGTGGTGTATCCCATGCAGTCTCTCTCCTGGCGTACGATGAGGCGGGCGTCCTTCACCTGTATAGTCATCTGGGCTCTGGCCATCGCGGGGGTGGTGCCTCTTCTCCTCAAGGAGCAAACCACCCAGGTGCCGGGGCTCAACATAACCACCTGCCATGACGTGCTCAATGAAACCCTGCTCGAGGGCTATTACGCGTATTACTTCTCGGCCTTCTCTGCTGTCTTCTTTTTTGTGCCGTTGATCATTTCCACAATCTGTTATGTGTCTATCATTCAGTGTCTTAGCTCTTCCACAGTCGCCAACCGGAGCAAGAAATCCCGGGCTTTGTTCTTGTCCGCTGCTGTTTTCTGCATCTTCATCATTTGCTTTGGACCCACAAACATCCTCCTGATTCTGCATTACGCGTTCCTTTCTCCTGACCCCACCACAGAGGCCGCCTACTTTGCCTACCTCCTCTGTGTCTGTGTCAGCAGCATCAGCTGTTGCATTGATCCCCTGATTTACTATTATGCTTCCTCTGAGTGCCAGAGGTACCTCTACAGCATCTTATGCTGCAAAGAAAGTTCTGATCCCAGTAGCAGCAGCGGTCAGTTGATGGCAAGTAAAATGGATACCTGCTCTAGCAACCTGAATAACAGCATATACAAAAAGCTGTTAACTTAGGAAAGGGCTGCTGGAGGGTTACAAAGAAAAGTTTTAAAAAGCAAAGAACCTGAGGATGCTATTAGTCCTGCCCCAAAAGTATTTACTTTACCATCCTAAACGACGAATGTGTGATTTGCATGCCTCCTTCTTAAGAGGGCCATTAAGGACATATATTTGTTAGTTACAGAAAAAGATATCATGAATAGAAAACAGTGTTATTCCAAGGCAATATTGCCAGTGCTACAATAATAACTGAATGTTACTTGTCGATACATTTAGGTGACTTGCATACATATGTTGTATATATACTCACACACTTGTCTCAGTTGCCATGCAGTATGGAACAGGCACTTGGAAGCCCTCTTTTTACCCCAAGAGATTAGGAAAATAAACTCTGATTCTCTGATTTAATATGCAAATTTCCGGTTGGCAGAGTTTAGCCCTGAATATCTGAAGATGTCCATCAGTAGTGAGGGATTCTGTAGTTTGGACTTACACAGCTTTTGCAAATAAGTTTATTTTGAAATTGTTCAACAGCTTGAGGTTATTGAGAGATAAGAGTGCTATTTGTGTGTGAAAAAAACGTTCTACTGTTTTTCATTTTAAACATATCAAAGTTTGCATTCTTGATATGAGTAGCATGTTTGATGTTTTACACACTGTATATGTAAACCAGAAATGAGCATAGGTCCCACCAGTGACCTGAGGTTGCCTTTCAAAGTAACCTGCCCTGGATGGAGGACGCCAAGCAGTACTTACAAGGCAGGGTTGGTCCAGACACCCTCCAGCTGTGCCTCCCAGAGAGTGGAGGGATCGGGACACACTTGCTCTCTCTCCTGGGGTCCCTTTGGGGGTTTGCTCTGAGTGGATCATGTTTAGTAGAAACTGGCAGAGGAGGATGTGCTATCCCAGGAGATAATGACTATGAAAGACTTCTCTGCCCGTTCATTTTAAGAACAGAGAAAGCATGTTCACTTCCAGCAGTTATCCTGCAAGGTCCATTCTCAGACGGAAGCACCCATTCAGCAAGCATGAATACCCATTATGTGCTTCGGGCACTCTGATGGTGCTGGGCAATAGCGTTGGATAAGGCTAGGACCTGCCCTCAAGGCTTATTGATGAAAATATACTTCCTATATTATATTGTGATATATAGGACCTGTCCTCAAGAATAACAAAGTAGCCCTGGCTGGTTTGGCTCAGGGCTAGAGCATCAGCCTGCGGTCCAGAGAGACCCGGGTTTGGTTCCCGCTAAGGGCACGTACCTCGGTTGCAGTTTGCCCCCGGCCCCAGTTGGGGTCGGGTGGGTGGCATCCAGTCGATGTGTCTCTCTCACTTCGGTGTTTCTCTCTCTCTCCCTCTGACTCTCCCTCTCACTCGATGCAAAAATGTTTTCGGGTGAGGGGGAAAAAAAAGAATAACAAAGTAGACTAGACATAGAGTATGATATGTGCATAATAAATATGTCATTATATAAAGAAGTATTTTTAGCCAAATGTCACCAAACAAGTGTCTCATATCCTGTCAATTGAAAAACTTTGAACATTTGGATTATTGCTTCCTGTGGTTATCACTTGAGATGAAAACACAATATAATATAGGAAGTACATTTTTATAAATAAATCTTTCAGTCTACATTAATTGGATACTTTATTTACAAATGTTTTAAATAAAACCAGGTTTTATTTTTTTATTATTATTTTTTTTATCCTCACCCAAGGACATTTTTCCATTTTTTGTTCAGGTAGAGTGGGAGGAAGAGAGAGAGAGAGAGAGAGAGAGAGAAACATCGACATGAAAGGGACACATCAAGTGGCTGCCACCCGCACAACCAACCAGGGCCGGGGACAAACTGCAACTGAGGTACGTGCCCTTAGCAGGAACCAAACCCAGGTCTCTCTGGACCGCAGGGCTAAAACCAGGTTTTAAAGAAAGAATGAATTATGTTAGTCTGATTAGAAATAACAGAAGAAAATTAAATTGACTTTGAATTCTAGCAAAATTATTCTATATTTTCCATTCACTTTTCTTAATAGCTAATGAGATGGTTTTAAAAGCTTTTTTTTTTTTAACCCCAAGATAAGTATCAAGTGCAGAAAGTCCTTATGGATTTGACGAAATAGGTTGAAGTGTATCTTTTTTCCATATGAAAAAAAATATTGGCATCTTAAACCAAAAAAAAAGAAAGTTCCAAGCAAATGCTTACCTATTTAAAAGAACAAACTACTTCCAAATGCCATAGAATAATTTACATTAAAGTGTATATTGTAAGTAGAAGCTAACATTGATTGTATTAATTTAGTTGCTATACTCCTTTTCTCTAACTCAGTGGAGATTTACTGTCATTGTTTATTCAGTCTGTGTGTGTGTGTGTATTCATATACCTCTGACTTAATATGACCATCATTATTATATTATCAGCCTGTACTTATAAAATATCATGTCACTGTTTTTATGTTCTCTCTTTTTTAAAAATATGTGTAACCTATATTAATAAACATGAAAGTTTGCTTGCTATCTGTTTGGAACAGATTTGTATTGTACCTTTCAGGGCCCTCGCAGGAAGGCCAGTCGAAAGGTTTAGCTGAAGCACATTTAATGAAGAGGTGATCTGCAGAGGTGTGGACAGGGTTAAGGTAACCCGAGGGTTAGTGAAGCTGTTACCACCCCAGGACCACAGGAGGACGGAATACCCTGACCCCCAGTCTCTGGTTTTCCACTGATGCCTCCCATTGCTCCTGATCTTAACCCAAACCGAGAGGTCGAGAGAACCTTGGTGACGCAGTCCAGGAAGGTCAGCTCGGAGCATGGAGAAGGGCTGAGATCGGGGAGCACAACTGCTACCGAAGGCACCGGGTGATTAGCTCTCTGGCTCTTTTTGTTTTTTTAATCCCTTCTTAGGAAAATTCAAGGTTACATCATTGAAAATATGTTCAGATTCTTAGGTTACAGGCACAGAGGATAGAGTCTGCAGTTCCTTCCTAGAGAGATTAAATGTCAGAGCCAGGATGACGTGTTGAAACCCAAAGAAGGGCTGCCTTTGAGTGACAGTCCTTTGCCATCTAACACCCTCGGGTAGAAGGGAAATTTAAAGGAAAATGAGAGTTGAAAATCAATAAAAACTTCTGATAATGTATGTCTAGATTCATAGTCAACAGGAAAATTATTTCAACTACATAAGAATTCTGTTAACACCGAATTTTTAAGTTAACACACAAGCCTAGGTTTCTGGGGCCTGGGCCTTCGGAAGTGCTTCGGGAACAGACACACTGAGCGAGGTTGGCCCCGCTCCACCTGAAGTAGGAGCCCGCTCTGACCAGAACGGGACCTTTAAACCCCGATAGTGTTATTTTTAAAAATATGTTTGAATTCAAAAAACACACTCGGATTTTCTTAACAGGAAAATATTTGTTTTTCCCACCGAGTCAAAAATAGGATTTTTAAGGAAATGGAAGATTTGCTTGTTGAATCTACAAGTGGAACATTTTAGGTTATACTACTGAATTACTTAAAAAAAATGTTGTCATGTCCTTCAGGAAGTCTAAGTTCCGAGAGCAAGTGGCAGAAGTTAAGCAGTGTTTGTGACCAAGTTTTTTAACTTTCTGAGGCCTGGGCTCTCCACTAGTAGCTTATCTTCACCTGGAATCAGTACAAATTAAGGGGAAAACAGTCACCAGCAGTAAGTTCCCGGCAGAAATGGCAGAGCTGTGTGGCGATTCCTTTCCAAATGACCAGACCTGGGGATAGCCCAGACCGTGTTTTATGAAGGAGCTGCAGTTAGGTGAGCTGCGGTCTCGGCAGAGAGGAGAAATGTTCCCTCAATGACCGTGAGTCCTGGAGACCCTGTTAGAACATGTACAAGGTCAGAACTATCTTAAAACACTGAGGTAGCTTTGCCCCTTTTTGGTCGGATTCTCTCACAAGTATACTGGTGAGTTTTCCAGAGGCTACATGATAGGTGATAGTGTAACAGATTGAATGATGAAGCAGATAGGAAAATCCGACTCTCTTCTCTGCAGCCAGCCATTAAAGAGATGAGCAAAAAATACAAAACAGTGCAACCCTCCTCATTAATTATTATTTGGGGAAAAAAAGACTCTTGTGGAAAATATATTTTTGTTAACACATAATGAGTTTATTATTTGTTTTTTGGGGTTTTTTTTACATCTTTTTAAATTCAAATACCATTCCGATCTCTCATGGTCTAAGAACATTCAAATAATAAACTAAAAAGAAACAGATGTTAAAGATTGGTCTTTAAACATTAGAGCCAATGATGCCACACTTGCCTGTGATCTCGCAGACATAAAACCTCAGTGGCCACCAGACCACTCTGCAGAGCTTCCTTAACTGAGATTTTTGAAGCTACCAGTTTGAGCACTACAGACTCCCCCCACCCCCTCAAGCTCTGAATAGCTGTAGGGATCTCAGCAGGGGCTGGAAGAATCAGCTCAACCTTGGCTTAGTGCCAAAAAGTGGCCAATTGAGGCTTCAGATAAGTCATAGCAGAGTGGACCAGAGTACGGGTGGGCCTTCTTCCTGAGGTTACAGACAACTGGGCCATGGAGCAAGGACGGAAATCGGTTTTTTGGTATTTTTTTAAAAAATAGATATTTTCAAAAGTTCTTATTTTAATGTCTAATGTGGTAACTATTGGTAGATATAATCAGTGGTTTGCTGTTAAACCACATCTCCAGAAAAAGAAAAAGCCCCTAATTTGTAGCATGAGCCAATTTCCATGGTGTATATATATTCCCTCTATTGCCAATTTCAAGCTTCCAGTGATGTTGGCTTGAAAATTCCTTTACTTCTCAAGAGCTGGTACAACAACTGGATATAACCTACAGACACGAAAACTTTATGGGATTTTAAAGAATGTTTAAGTGTATTAAGGTGTCCTGTGAGAACCCTGCTGTTTTGGGAGATTTCCCAACTGTATCACCTTGAAGAAGACATAGAAACCGGTGGTGATTATGAAGCACAGAGGATGGGCAGCTGGCTCACAGCTGCAGGCCAGCGCGGTGGGTCGGGAACTTGCAGCAGTGGAAGCTGATTCAAGGCAGCAGGCCCCGCGTGGCCTGGGGTTGGAAAGCTTCGCGTGAGGCCTGTTTCCATCCCACGGCTGTGAGCACCGTGGGGCCGTCACCATCAAGTGAGCATGAGGCTGCACGCTTCTTGTGGTGGGCACTGTTGTGACTGCACGTCGCTCTTCGGGAAAACAGAAACCAGAGGTCACAGCCAGCAACATCTTGGGATCCAGATAACACGGTATGTTTCTACCCAGCTGTCTGTGTGTTCATCACTTCAGGAAATGACTCAAGCCCCAAGGAGGTTAGCTTTGAAAGCTGCATTTACAGTAGCCTGGAGACCGGGTGGCGGCAGGGCCGGTCTGGCTGTTTGGCTCTTAGTAACCCCTTTCGTGTGCTGCGGTGTGGCCCCTCCAGAGACGGAGGACATGACTAAAGCCGGATTGCCAATACTAAGATGCATTTAAGGGCAGGCCCTCAATTGTTTTTCGTTTGTTTTTGTTGTTCTGTTTCTTATCCTGAGATACCTAGTTGCTTTAGAAACTGGCGGACATATAAAAAAAAAATTTTTTTTAAATATCTCCCTGTCCTCCAGGAGCTGTTTTTTGGATTTAATCATAATATATCATACTTAGTTAAGAATCATGGAATTTGAACACCTTAGATTTTAGAGTTTTATCAACTCTGCCTTGTGAGAAGGAAGTTTTAGACACTTTGTAAGTCACTTCTCTTATCGGGCTGCAGGTGGACTCACTGGAGAGCTTCTAAACAATTCCGGTGCCCAGTCCTTCTAACCAATAGGAAGCTGAGTCTTTGGGGGCGGGGCCTGGGCATGTTTACAAGCCCCTCAGGGTCTAGACGTATAAGCCAGAGTTGATACCTACCACTGCTTTAAGAGAATGCTTCTCACATTTAACATGCATTCATATTATCTGAGGATCTTGTTCAACTGCAGACTGATAGAGAGGTATCTGGGGTGGGGTCTGCATGGCTAACAAATTCCCAGACGATGTTGACATTGCAGTTCCTTGGGTCACACTTTGCATAGCAGGGCCCTAAGATATGGATCTTAGGCAAAATTTGGCCAGGTTGGAGGTCCAAGCACTGAGAAAATTCAACTCTCCTTAAAGTCATTTTCTGGGACAGTTTTTTAAGTTATGGTAAAATTGGGGCAATATTAATGTAGCAGTATTATAGGTTCTTAATCAAAACATGTTTTAGGTGATATCTATTTTGTTGTATATTT